CTAGTCTAGCAGCAGCAGCAGCAGCAGCAGCAGCAGCAGCAGCAGCAGCAGCAGTCGATCCGGCAACGAATGGAGCAACAGATGAAGCAGCGGGAGCAGTCATCTTTGAAGATCTCGGAGCAGCAGATGGAGCAGCGAGGGTAATTACCTTTGTTGGCATCTTTGAGGTAAGTTTTTTTTTACTCGATGTTTCCTCTTTTTTGTTTTGTTCTAGGTATGATTTATTTTCTTTATTCCCAGCTAGTCCTTTTACTTGTAATTGGACCAAATTCTGGACCACTGACGTTAAGCCTTTGATTGCAGTTAAGATTTCGTTTGCATTTTCTTGGCTTTTTACTTCCATTGTCGTTGCAAGGGGGTGTTCTTCATTACAACATCCATATCTGAATGTCGTCTATTACCTGTGTCTTGTTCTTTAGATTTATTTTTAATTACTCTATTTTGAAGTATTCTTCCTTCATCTATGACCTTGGTTACTCCTTGCATTGGGAGTTTGACAACCGGTGGAACGTATATCTCCATACTAGGTAGGTGGCCTCTTCTTCATAATACGAAATTGGATCCGTGGTAGGTGTAGAAGAGGAAGTTTCTTTTTGAGCGGGAACTGTCCTTTCTTCCAGTTTCTTTTTTAACAACTCATTTTCTTGTTTGATTATGGCCATTTTTTTCCCTAATTTATTTACTTTTTTTGCAGGAATTGCGTGTCTCCTTGATAGGCTTTTATTGTAAGTAGTGTGATCGCCTCTAGAACTGCCTGCGTGCATGTTTTGATCTTTCTATCTAGTGTACCTTTGATGTTTCTTGACTTTGCTCTAGAACCATCCACTTCACGCAGCCAGCCTTTAGCGTAGGCGCCTATTTCTGCTGTGGATTTTTTGCCTAAATCAGCCATTAAGTTGTCAGCCTCTAGTCGCTGGTTGTATGTTAGCTCCAAGCCCTTCTCCGCTTCTTTTTCCTCCAAAGAGGAAGTGTCCGGAGTGTTTCAACATTTTCTCTTCTTGGTACGTTTGGGTCCTGAACTCGATACCGTCTTCATTAAAAAGGCTTGACTTTCGGTGTCAAAGATTACTGTAAGATCCATACACTCGGTGTCTAGAGTGCAAAAACGGAGAAACGGTTCTCCGTTTTTGCACTCTTTGTTGCTTTTTTTCCAGGTATTGTCCTGACTTTTGGGACAGGAGTTAGCGTAACTTCCATTAGCATACCTGGCAAGACCCCTACATCAGTCTTGGATCTTTGTCTTATCTTGCACGAGAGCAGAAGGTAAGTTCATACCTATCTCCTTTTCTCGTATATTCCATGCTTTTCCGATTGAACTTGGTCCTGGTTGTTGCTCCCTTATCATATAATCTACTTGTAGGTTTGAGACGATAGCTGGTTTAGCTAGGCCGCTTGTCACAAACAGTCCAGCCAGCCCTTTACTTGATGACGACATATCGGAGGCAGGGATACCTCCGTATGCGCCGATCACTGGGGTATCCGACCCCCCCCCCCCCTGTGATGGTAAGTGTTCTTCTTCGTATTCCATTAAATTCATAAAATATAATTTGTTGACACAGTTTTCTTCTGCGGGTTTGTAATCAGAGTTTTACTTCTCCTAGGTCGGTTGCCGGCCAAGGCTAATGAGCCCGACCTGCCCGATGAGCAAAACGCAGCCGGATTCAATCTAGCAACTCTTCAGACGGCCCCGGCCGCTGGACCGGGCCGGAACTCTAGGGGCCTTCCCTAGAAGATCCGCCCCGGACCATCGCCATCACCTTAGTCTTGACAAGAACTAAAGGTGACCCAGTCCGACGTACTTGAGAGTTTCAGGCACGTTGGCCCGTCTCTCCTCAAAGCGCCCAGAGAGAACTTTCCAGCGCACCTCCCTTGTGGGACACCTGGACTGAACACCAGCCAGGTACCCACGTCCCCCCACCGAAACCGGCGACCCGGGCTCCAGTAGGGATCCGAGTCACCGGCTCAGGTTGGCGTGCACTTAACCTATGGTCCGGGAGCACCCAGACTACAAGGAGGCGCCTGCGGGAGCACCGCGTCGTCACGGATAAGGAACGGACCTCCCCCTAACGGTGCCGTGCCATTGGGCGATTAAAGTCAGGGCCGCCAACCCCTACCGGCGATTGGAATTCCATTCGTATATAAGCACAAATTTCGCCCCTAAAGAAGTCGCCAAGCTCTTATGTTCCCTCAAACAAGGGTACTGTGCGCTCTTAGCACCGCGGAATGATCCCAACGGACCACCCCACGGTGAGCCCCCTCACCACGACAAGGTGGCGCACAACGAGAAGGAACCTAATCTTACTTTGCAATCGGCAGATCCTCAGCAAGGACCAGAGATTCCAAGAGAAAAAACCGGGTCAGAAGGGGCATCCGAAAGGACGTCCAGAAAGAACGACGAAACCTCTGCGAGAACCTAAAAACTTGTATATATAGAATTAAAATAATTATATAAAATAATGTAATCATATATAACTTAATCTTATTGTTCAAGAAATATACATATACTCATAAGATGTAATTATACGAATATTAATGTACGAAACAACACGGGTCAAAAATTAAACAGCGCGCCATAGGATCCGCGCGCCACTGCGTAAAAAAGAAAAGGAGGACGGTAAGAGGGGAGAACGTGTGTAAGGAACAAAAAAACAACGCAATAGGCGTGCGACTTACGAGTAGCAATAACGTGTAGCAAAGAGTATAGAAAATAAAAAAATAAATTGAGTATTTCCAGTAAGCTTATTTGTTTAATACCTTACATTAGTGTAAGAATAAAACACATAAAAATACAATATTTTACTTACCTTAGTATAAGCTAAAAGATAAAAGTAAGATTAATTATTCAAAAAAATTATGAAACCGTGTGAGCTTTTTCGGGCGTGGTATAGCTCGACGGAATCCGAGTTCGTTCGGTTGGGGGTACACCAAGAAGAACTCACATTTAAGATAGATGATAGTAAATTAATGTGTTTATTGAAATAATAAGATTGATGACTGTGTGTACATGCGATGTATGATTTGTATAAATGTAGTGTGCAAAGTGCGTAATTGCGATGTAAAATTTGTATAAATGTAGTGTGCGAAGTGTGTAATTGCGATGTGAAATTTGTATAAATGTACTCGGTGTGATTTATATAAATGCGTGAGTGAATAAAGGCGACATATGATTCGTATAATTGCTTGAATAGATCACGGCGATGTGTGATGCGTATAACTGCTTGAATATATAACGGCGAGGTACGATTCGTATACGTGTGACGTGAAACGTCTTGGTGCGATCGGCGAAACGATTAGCGCAAGCGCGTATGATTGAGTCGTAGCGGTTGGCACGACGGAACGCCTGTCAGTGGGTGCGTTCGTAGAAGTGTCGCGAGTCCGTTTGATAGTTGATAGATACAGGTCGCTCGGCGGCGCGGATTGGTCGACGCGGTTTTGCCTGCCGGATGGATTTTAGCTTCAAATCCCAGTGCACGGAAACGCGATATTTGGATTGGGAAGCCGAGTACGCTCGGCGGGAGTACGAGAACGCTCGCACAAGGTGGATTCAGAGTGGCGGTCCGGCTGGGTACACGGGAATACCCGTGCACGAAGATCGGTGCCTGGAGGAGCCGAGTACGCTCGGCGAGTATACAAGAATGCTCGTATCAGAGGCTTGAAGTCGAGTACGCTAGGCGGGAGTACAAGAACCAGTGCTGCAAGATCGAGTATCCTGCAACAGAACAACATGAGGGGAACGGCCCCCACCATGCGGGCACTACACAAGCGAGAACCGCGTCCGTGTGCGCACGCGTCAGCGTAGCATGCTATACTTTGTCACTTCCCCAGCCCGTGAAAAATGCTACGTACGAAAAATGCTAAGAAGCAAAGCGTTTTTAATCGAGTAAGGCGACTCGCTCGAATAATAAAGATTCCGTCTTCTAGACCTGTATCTTGCAACTTGTTTTTTTTCTTTTTTCGCATTTCTTTTTAACGCACAATCTAATGCACAATCGAGTAAATAATTAAATAAATTTTTTTCTAAACAGTATTATTTTATATTTATTAAAAATATACGCATAAGTTAAATTATTAACTGTTGAAAAAGATATTAATTTGCTATGACTTGTCAATAGAAAAATAAAATATAATTTTACAATTTTTTAACAAAATGCAACTTTAACATATGCCAAGATTATTAATAAATATAAAATAATACTTTTTTGTCGAAAACATTATTAAATAATTTGATTGATTACTGTTAGAAACTCTTGTGCAAAAAAAGTTGCAAGAAGCAATTTCCAAACACAATATCTTCAACA